ATATGCGTGCAGGGAATTGGTTCCACATGCGAATTCCCGAGCCTCATCCGGACCGAACCCAGCTCTCCTACTCTGTGGGAAGAATCCACTGAGAATGGCAACTATGACGTATACGGTGGAATTCGCATGGAACTCGCTGACTGCAACGGTGCTTTCCCTGCGGGACTTTTTCCCCGGGTACAGTTGTGCTTGCGTCGTAACTTTCAACAAGAGAGCGACACACTTGATAATGAGTTAACATTGTGGCAATATGGTGCTAAGTGCATAGGTGGCAATATGGAAGGATTAGTTATATTCGCCGATAATAATGAATCAATATACATTTGCGTACGAGGGCCGAATGAATCGAAACAGGCATGTTTCATCTTCATGGAAGACCTAAGTCATCTCGTAGATCAGGTTATCGCCGAGTCGTACCCTGGTCTTCTAACAACAAAGTACATTTTGAGTGCAGCACAACTGAAAGTGCTGAGTGATAAAAAACCCATCGACAATCTTATGATTACTGCTTTTGGGCCGCAAGAGATTTTCGGTGCATTACTGGATCATAAATCAGAAATTAACAATAGAAACGACGACTCTGTGGAGTCATTTACAGATTTGTTGTGTTTTACAAGTCAGACGCTTGGTTCGAGTATTACATTTGGTGCCGATTTGCACCTCAGTCATTTACATCCCCATACACGCCGCCAACTCAGTATGCTGTTAGACCCTCCTGATCCAATGGGCCGTGATTGGTGCCTTTTAGCGTTGTCTCTCGGCCTTGGAGAACAGCTCCCCAACTTAGATCCAACAACTTGCGTTAGTGACGGAGAAAGCCCCACTGATAGGATTTTGCAAGAGTGGAGTTGCCGTGCTGACAGTACCATTGGAATCCTTATTAGCAAACTTTCTGAATTAGGCCGCCAGGATGCTGTACAAGTCGTCATCAAGAGTGCTCCTTTGTTTAAATTTATGCCAAAGCAGCACGGAATGGATGATACACCGATGAGTAATTCAGCAAGTTCACTGGCATCCAGATAATAAATTTGACATTAAGAGTTATTCATTGTTGTCATTTAATGTTTTGACGCAGTCCAAAAATGGGGACTTGCGTTTTGACCTCCAGGTGTGTGTCTCCACCTGTAACTTTGACATGCCTGGTCCATTCACATTTAAAATACATAACATATCTTGGGCGACGTATGCTCATGTTTCAAAATGGCCAAATGGAGGCCATTTTTGTGCTATAAATTAATTAAAATCAAGCGACGTATGCACATGTTTCAAGATGGCCAAATGGAGGCCATTTTTGTGCTATAAATTCATTAAAATAAAGCGTTGCTGCTATTCCAGAATGGATCTTGGTTATGTATGAACCGATTTTGTTATGGGACCATATCATTTCTTTTTTAAGATCAAATTCAAAATGGCTGACTGCTGGCCATTTTGTTTTAACAAATTTGGTTCAGAGCTATAGCTCCGACATTCTCTGACCAAACATTTTAAAACATTAGATATACTGGTACATCATACATAATGTCACACATATGCACATGTATTCATTTGACAATTCAACTCAAGATGTAGATTTTAATGTAGTTCATCAAAATCAAGCATTTCTGCCATTCTGGAACCAGATTTTGATCATGTATGGATGTTTCGTTCAAACTTGGTAAAAACATTGGTCACTATGGGACGTCAATGCTCACCAAAATCCAGCATTTCTGCAATTCTGGGAGCCATATCTCTGACGTTCTTCGACTGCGCTCATATTCAAGCTTTATTTATTTCTTAAGTTCTGCCAATTTAGTCCAAAACCTGAAAAAACCTGAAAATATATGCAATTTCATTAAGGGTTTAACTTGGTATTAACGTCGCAAATAAATCAGTTGTGATGATTTCTCGTGCATTTGATATTTTGTTTTGATGATGTCAGCAACTTGTTTGTTCAAGACGCATGATTGATTCCATAACTGATTCAATAATATCATGCAACACAGAAACTCGCAAGAAGTTTACTGACCTTTTAGTGGCCATTTTGATTTATCCATCTGTGAGTGATTTCAGACTCTTATACGCTGTAGCTGCATTCTGTTGAAATGGCAGCAAGTGAGCGTATTAGCATATATAATTATAAAGTTTTTTAGTACCTTTTTATTAAATACAAATAAACATATCTTGGAATAGTAAGACAAATCATGATTTATATTATTAAAGTGGCCAACAAACATAGTAATTTCATTTTTTTTTTCAAATAACAGATTGGAATTTTAAAAACCCTAAATATAGATAAAAATGTATGATAGAATGAAAATATATTTTTTACAAATTTTGATAAACTTGTGTTAATTTGAAAGATTTGTTTTGGGGTTTGTTTTCACCAACTGTGAATTTATTTTGTTCTCCTAACTGAAACTTTCTCTGTTTTTTACCTGATAAGTTGTATGAAAGGCAGCTGGTCCTGTGCTGAAGTGTCACCACATTTTTGAAAAAAGGGCTACTATTTGTTATAAAAAAATGCTGCAAAGTTCTATTTTGCTTTTTCTCGATTCAATGTTGCGCCGAACAGTTTTATTGAATTGTAAATATGATGGACAAGGGAACGCCAACCATCTTTATCACTGAAAACTTTAATACAGCAGACCAGGATGAAGAAAGTTCCAGTTGAACAAAAATATATTAATAGTGAATTCAGTTTTATTACTCCCACCATGAGTGTCTTCCACAGACAAATAGTGTCTGAATTAATATTTTGTAAAAAGAAAGTACTTTTGAGTTATAGTATTTGTTTTTGATAAAAATTGACTTTTAGCATTTTGTCTATGGTGGAGAGATAATCAAAGAGAAGGTCATTGACGTGTTGGAAAGAAAACAACTTTAATTTTGTCTCAGAGTTCTGGATTCAATTAAGGAGAAATGAACCAAATACATTGCGGTGAACATACTATCAGGATTTAATGTCTTGGAAATGTGCAGCAGTGCCAAGTTTAATTTGGTGAGAAATGCCTAAATACATGTATTAATCAAATATATTATGTGGTTGCATGTGATTGTTCAGACAGTTGCATTTTGTTTGAAACTCGTATGTATATATATATATATATCAGGTGATAACCGGTATGAAGTCTTATTTAGCCTACCTGAAATACACTTCAGTTTTAAACATTTATTAATATTTCAAAATTAATGCGAGAAATCAATACTCAAGGTTCACGTTTAAAAATGTACTTCGATTTTCACAGACTAAACAGTTGAAATGTATGAACAGTTGGGTTGAGATTAATATAATCTTATATTGCTGTTGAGAGGGGTTGTTAGATGGATGTGCCATGATTGCCACTTCAGAATTATTATAATCAAAATCAAAGTTGTTTCATACATTATTTTCACCATTCATGATAAAGTGGACTCAATTACTGATAATTTGTGATTTTGTCTGGAAAATCATGCGCAACCACAGACATATTCCGAAATTATGAAAAGATGATATAAAAGTCTGATTTTTAATATACTGTAAAGTTCTTTATTTTCAATTGGAATTTACTTTCGCTATTTTCACTAAATTGTTGCAAATAAAATCCCTTTTTCCCCATATATTTTACATTAAACTAAACTAAAATAAACTCTGTACAAAACAGCCAAAATGTCTGTTCAGTGAAAATTAATTCTGGCTAAAATTAAGAATTATGTTTTTTCCCCAAATAGCAATCTAAATCATAAGTTTTCAAAATAGCTTTACAAAATAAGATATTCAAAATGTTCTTTATTTGTTTTTTAATATGTAAAAGTTCAAACAGCTATGAGTGGAATCGTGGATGTATGTGCCACGTGGTACGGAAAATTGTACATTTTTTTACAAAAACTGCACATTAAATTTTGTACAGAAAAGATTACGATGTTTTTTTCTACAAAAGTTTTTAAATATTTGTAATATTTTATATTATGTGTATATATGAGCGAATAGTGCAAATGTTCGTTACTTTTATTACCTGTGTATTTTATGTTTATTTTCCTTTTACATGTTAGTTCATGTTTAATTATCTTCATAAATTATCTGTAAACAGAAGACTGGAACTTTCAACATTTTTCTCTCATTAAAATTATAAGATTTTCATCGATATCGCACTACCCATCATGCAATTATCTCATCAACATTACCCATCATGCAATTATCTCATCAACATTACCCATCATGCAATTAAGCTATTTGACAGTAGGCAACCATTTTTGATATCTCAAAAATAAAACATTTACTTACTTCAAATTGAGTTACTCCAAATTCCCATTATGCTCACCTATGTATGAGCCTACCGGTATATTTGAACTACCAGGGATTGTGAGCCCTATCAAAAGTGAATCTGTACTGACCATCCTTAAAAGAAAATTATTAATTATAGTGCATACATATCATGTTTAATTGCAGCGAATGACTAATTTTACAGTACAATATCTAAAATATATTATTCATTTTTTTTATTGTCACATTTTCCTTATTTGAAATTGCCATGAAAATCATAAATTAATAAATAACAAAATGGCACCTTTCCAACTTTCGCTTGAGAAAGAAGACAAACGAATTTTGTGTCCAATGTTTCAAGTTCATACAAAACATAATGTGCATTTCACTATTTTGAATAATAGACCTACATACTGTTTTCAGTTTAGAGTGTTAAATAATGAATTTGAAATCCATACACTATGGATATTTGACAAACTGTATTTCATTTGCTTTACTACATCAACAAATATTTATCCTAGATTCCAGCCGAATTTAGGATTGTTGCAGAGCGCCCTCAGTGGTGGTGTGTAAAAAATCGATTGTTTATAAGGTATGCATTTAACATGGCTACTGGATATACTCTGCATCAACGCTATAGGGTATATGCTATGTAACATCAAACTAATTTTATTGAACAAAACAAAATTGGCCATAACATTCAATACGAAAATTACAATTAAATTTAAACACAATTTTTGTGTATAAAATTCAGTTCTTATTTTAGCCTCTACAGATATTAAGTGTATTATCAATTTTTATTTTATGCATCTATTTTAATCTGTATATGTTGTGTTATCCATTCATATTTATATATATATATATAATTATTTATATTCTTTGTTTTATTTTAAATGCAGTTTTTATTCCAAAATGGTGCTTCATATGTACTCAGGGGTGTGCTCAAAGGTCACTGGTGATCAACCAATCGGTTTTCTTGAATGTTTTTTGAGGAAAAAAAACTTGGCTTATTTCTGATTTGTACTTGTTGCAGTGCCAAAATCTTGCAAGTTAAATATATATATTACTCAGCCAATGAGATTGCTTTCTACAAATCATGTGTTCATACATTGCTATTTGTACTGCTTATTTATTTGGATTTGTCGATTACATTTTTCTGAATATTGCAACATTTCCCATGTTGAATTCTTGGTAACTTATGTGAGGTAATAAAACCAAATATTTATTAAACTTCATTGTTGTCTTTGACTACTTTAAAGCATGTGTTGATAATTAATTAGTTCTCGTTTAGATGAAGTCTGAAAACAGAGACTTGTGGATTGACTGTTGTTTTGTATCCAGCTGTAGCTCGCACATGGTTGGATCGACGAAGTTCAAATTTCGAACATATCTGATATTTGTACATGCGTTTGTTTTTTGATCCAATTCAAGATGGCCGAATGGCAGCCATTTTAAGGCTAAAAAAGCATCAAAATCACACTATTCACCATTCCACAACTTAGTTGTGTGTTGGTTTTAAACATGGTACATATAAAAAATTATTGCACTAAAATTATTTAATATACTGGTATCCCCATACTATGTAGTAAAAATGTTGACATCAGGGCCAACTGTCTCAAGATATTGGTGACTTTACAAAATCAAATTAATTTAAATATTTCTGGTAGTTTCAGATGTTAGTTAAAATGTGTTTGTGATATAAAGACGCATATGTAAAGCGTCTTGAAATGTCGGGGATTGTAGAACAGACATGGGTTCAATTAACTTTATTGTAATTTTGTTGCTAATGCATCCCCCCAAACCGTGAATACCTATATTTCCTAATCTCAACTTGTATTAATTAATGGGTTGCCAAATCCCTCAAAAAGCCACCTTTTGGAACAAATGTTCAAGGAAAATTTACCTTATTTAAACATAGCTTCGATTCCAAGACATTTCAAGAAACTGACCCCGCGACTCTTAAAAAAAAAAGATTCCTTGCCCATTTTAAAACATAATTTACAAACGCTATGGGTGCCTTGCATATCAGTTGGTAAATTTCTACTAACCCCCTCCAAAAAAAATACTGTAAAATACTTTATTTTAGCTGGATTTTCGCTGAAAAACTTTATTTGGTGTTTTGTATGGAATATATTTTAACTGATTTTTGACAAGTTAAATGTAATATATAGGAAAAAAGATACATTCGCTGGTTTTTATTTTCCCTGAATCATTCTTTCAGTGACAATAGCAAAAATTATTTCGAAGCGAAAATAAAGTATTTTACGTAACTAAAATCGTTGTTCATGTGTGGCTTACCGATTACGCAAAATAGCCAGGGCGCTCTACAATGTCTTGAATACGCACCAATAAACCAACTACGATCATTTCTTAAATTATCTAATAAAAACAGAAGGAAAAAATAACCAAGGCTGAACCAAGTGTGCTACGTAAAATGGGTGACATGAATGAGATAAATCTCAAATCTGTGCAACAGGTTGAAATTAATGAGGGTCAAGAACCAATGAGTGGATTGCAACTATGATACTGGTAACTAAAGGTTCTGGGATAATTCAAAAACCTGATTAGTTTTGGGATTGAATTCCATGCATATTTATTACTTAATTTGCATAGAAATAGTAGTTTTGGGAACTGCCCGTCTGACCAAGATCATTTCTCGAAAGTGCCTGGATCTATTTTGTTAAAAAAAAATACAAAGGTTTTGTTCCAATTACTGTTTTTATGGTGAAAATGTTTCCCAAACTCAAAACTTCAACTTGATTGGTTATACATGAAAATATCAAATGTAATCATAAGAATTATTGGAACATTCTGAATATTATTTAGTTTTTTATGAAATAATGGTTTAACATGAATTATTCAAATGTCCGCGAACGACCTTCCAGTACGTGAATAGTTGGGTGTCACACTTGAATTTGATATTGTTGTACTTGACTGGTCCGTTTAGAGGTTTACTAAAGCAGAGGAAACCTAATGAATCCGCCGGCGAGGGCGCAATAACTACCGCTGACCATGTTGGCTGGAGTAAAAGTTTCCACGCATATACCGAGTGATATATTTCCGAGCATAATCGATACAACTGATTTCATAACCGTTTCCCCACAATGTTATATTAATTAATTGGACTAATATAAAACAATATGTGCTAATTTTTTTAAGCCACAGATCCTGGCCACAGATAGTGAGACTGATTTTAGAAACTACAAGTATTATTGATTTGCTTTGTATTTATTAAAGTTATTAATCATAGAAGCAGAAATGAGGCCGGGAAGTATTATTTATCTTCAATGCTGTCATTTTAGTTCGCAATTTAACAGTATTGGAACGCTGTATTTATTGCTAGAATGAATAGTATGTGTTACGACAGTCATGGTTCGTGGTGGCTCCCTCTATGACAATCTTCATAATTTTTTTCGTTTAAAATAAAAATATTTACTCAGAACAAAAATGGTATAACGCACAACACACATCAGATCGTAGTTGAACGCAGATGCCTCGATTAATGTTGTCTTTTACAGACGAGTATTTTTATATTGTGTTTCAAACTAATTTTATACGTCTTTCATTTTTTAGGGCGCTTTTTCCTTTTCAGTCGTCTGCTGTTTTCATCTCTCCATTTGCCTGCGTGGTGGCGTTAATCAACATGGCTGCTAATCCTCGGCCGAATGTTCTCTGGGCTCAGGATAATGAGAAAATATTTCTCAAAGTTGATCTAAAAGAAGTAAAGGTAAGTTCAAACATTGGACAGATGATCATTCTTTCATTCCATTGTCTAAGTGCATCGTAAAATCGATCGCCGAATAAGGCATACCGAGTCTCGTGGTCGATGGCCGAGTGTTTATACCTGGAGTACACGATACCCTTTGTGTTGCAGGATTGAATATATCAGCTGGTACTATTTAGGTTCTAGAATATTCCATGGCACAAATCGTGATTTTGTGTGAACTACAATAACGCCACTCAATGGGATGTCGTGTGTGGTAATGCTCGGAACCTCGTGGTCGAAGATACTATACCGAGTACCTGACCTTTGAAGCGACCTTTGTTCATTTGTACCAACAGAAAGAGACGAGTCTGTGTCTCGTCTTCGAAACTAGTCCCTGTTACGGCTGTGTAGTGTTTTACATACTGCATTTTGAAGCAACTTTCTGTGTGTTTATCCGACAAAGTAGGCGAAATTGGTGAATTCCAATTATTTGAAATTTGAAGGGGCAAATAAAGACAATTTTCCACATTTCAGTGACTGTTCATTATAATGGCTGGTGTTAATTTGAGCTATCAGGCTCATGTTTTCTAGAAAGTCCATGATTGGTAGAGTATTTTGGCTACATTGTAATGATTTCACCATGGTGGTTAATGTGATATTTTGTTAATACATGTATGATGCATAGTACAGTCTCTCATTCAGTTTTCAGAAGCTGTCACCACAAAATATTTACTTTTACACTTACCATTTGGTTATGAAATGGTTTCCATAGCAACCATGGTTATGATACATGGTGTGTGAATAATTCCTGTGAAATCAATTTGCTCTTCGAATAATGTTCCCCAAATTATAATTAATAAATCTAATGAGTGGCAATGCTCGTTATGGTGTACGAAACCATGCTGGTTCTCTGTGGGGGATTTTGAGGGAGGTACAATGGTTCTCCCGAACACCATTGTATATATATATATATAGTGAGAGAGAGAGAGGATATCTAATGAGGGACTCGTGGTATCAGATTTATTAAACAAGTTTAGTAATTTTCATATGTCCCAAGCTATCATGGGTTACAAATTAGGATATTCTATGTATCTCAATAGAAAGTATTTGCTTAAACCAAAACGCTGCTCCTTGAACAGTTTCACTGTCAGTTTATAATAATAATAATAATTCATTCATGTGGGCATCAATATACTTCTGATCATAGCAATTTACATTAACACATTTTTGCATAATTTTGTGGTAATTATATCATCGGTATCACAATTTGACAAGATAGATTGGCAAGAGGAACCGTTAGAGAAATGAATTTCATTCATTGCCAAGAAGGGGTTGGGATAATTCATGAATTACTGACAGATGCAATGTACTTCTTTTTGTGCATGCATAACCTACCTAGCAAGGAATGAGGTGGGCGAGGCAAAATATAAAAGCTCAACAGAATAATGACAAAACGACCCCGAAAAATAGACAGCGTCATATTTATAACAGTGTGGGAGGGTGCAGTAAAAGACAGCTAGAAGAACTATCTAAGATAGCTGAGAAACATGACTAATATGTACCAGTTGAAAATGAGTAAATATTACCATTACGTAGTTATTCACCCCAAAAATATAAAACATTCCGATTTAGGCTAAGATAATTTGCATGTTCGTTTTTCTTGCTTGGGCAGAATGGTGTGCAAATTACGAGTTTGCTAAAAGATGATGGCACTTTTATTCAACGCTATTTTTTATGCTGCGAGATGGAAACACGGATGGACGGTGTACTGCAACATTCAAATCAGTCCTTTTAATTTGTCCACTGTGCGCCATTGCACAAACGATAAATACACAAACAATTATGAAATCAGCAATTATTAGCTGTGATTTCCACATTTTATACATTAAAGTGCATGTATCTGAAATTATTGGTATATTGTAAAAACATTCCAATTTACTATATTTCAAACAGTTATTACCAGTATCAAAATATATTTTGTAGTCAACAAATGAGCGTTTTTTTGGCTTCCCAGATGTAAGTCAGTGACATCAGATTGCCGATAAAGTGTGTAATATTTTGGTTGTGATATCAAAAATTAGAATATCACATGACTTTATCAAATTGATTTTGCATGATTCATGTGATAAATATTATATATCCGACAATGCAATACAGGGATTTCATAATTATAACCAAAAATCATGCCTTCATCCCTTGGAACAACATGATTACCTTCATCAGTTTAATTCTGTGTTCATTGGTTCGTTTTTATTTTCTCTTTTTTTTTATTAGGAACCTCTGATTGATGTGACTGAAAATGATATCAAGTTTAAAGGTAAGAATATAGATTGTATTTTTGAAATTGAAATTTACACCAAGTACAGTACCAGGGTTAAAGTACTTGAGAGTTCACTGCACTGTGCTTGTTGTTTTTCAGCCTTTTCAAAAAAGCAGCATGCAATGTGCACGAAGTGCATGTGAAAAATTACAATATGAATAAATAAATATATTCCAAAATATGTATTCTCTGTATCAATTGCTAGTTATTCATACAGTAAAGTTGTGCAAGTTGATGGAATTTCCCAGTGGTTTGCATTTTGATGAAACCACAGTCCTTTTACAAGTGGTTTGACTGCAATGAAACATGAAAGACTGGAGCATATAATCTCAGAAGAACATATTTCCTAAACAATATTTGGTGCATGTGACACTGATCATTGGTGGGGGTATTTTCAAAGCTAGCATGAACACTTTCAATTCCTTGATGCCAGATTTATTTAATTTATTGGTACTGTATTTCCTCTATTAGAAGTGAATCTTTAATAGAAGTGCGCGTATACTAAAATTTGTATTTGTTATATACTGAATCATTAAAATACACTTATTTTAATCGTAAATATACCTTTCATTTACCCAAATCACATTCATGTAGTATTCATGAAATATAATAATATACGGACTGGGTGTGCCATATCAGCCGACACTTTCTCCAATAGAAGCACATATGCTTATGTAAAAACCCTGTAACAAGGTAGTATTTAAAACTCCTAACAAAGCAAACATTTAAACACACCACCATCGTTAATATAAATTCATACGTTTCTAAATAATATTTCTCAATGAGTTCTCCTCAGGTGAATGTTATTTACAGTACAAAAAAGTAGGGTAGATATTCTTTTATATATTCTGTATAACTCACTATGACATAATGTCTACATGTACTTGTATTTGTTTCAGGTGTTGGTGTCGGTGCTGGTGGGCAACAACTCTATGAATTCACATTGAATTTTTATGACATCATTATTCCCAAGGTATATATACATTATTTGAAATCATACTGTATTTGCCCATGTAAACTGATATACAGTATGTACAGCTGTTTTGTCTGACAACATTAATGAAAATGAACATCGTACCTTAGTACATTGTGCCGAGTGTGTGTTACGAAAGTCAAACACAAAGTTAGGGTGCTAGAGCATACATATTCTGTAATCTTCGGCTACACTTCAAACATTGGAATGTAAGTACATGGCAGCAAGATGTGCATCCTGCCACCGATTGGCTGATTATACATTATCAAACGAGATGGATGACATATGATTCTATTTGGTTGTCTGACTATGCTCCAAGCACATCATTTACTCCCAGTTATCGTTGTAATGAATACTTACCAGCAGTCTTCTATTTAGTCTTGAAATTATCACAGATGCTCAACAATCGTCTATCGCTCTCAAATACAAAATGTACTTAACTAAACCGAAGCCCGTTTGCACGATAACTTTATCTGATCTCATTTAATCTGTTCAGATAAATCTGATCGTAAATCTGATCTGACATTTTACAAGTCAGATATTTTCTGACGTCACATGATGTCTGATCAGACACGATCTGATCGTCTTATGATGTTCAAACTGCAAAATCTTTTTTTGGTAGAAAAGAAGACTTTAATCCCAGGGATATAACCATGGAAACTCATTAATTATATTCTTAACATTATTAACACATCGACTGATGAAAGACTTCACAGATTGTCGATAATCTGTGTATAATAGATTGTGTATAAAAAAGCTGCTGCATACGATGTGTTAATATTAAAAACTATCCTATCGTTATTGTAATACAACAAATAATTGTCAGTTTAGATATTAGTCTTACATGAATTTAACCCTTTGAGCACGAAAGTCAAGATCAAGATCCTCAGCCAATAAGGAAGTATATGTTCACTTGGTCCAAAATTATTGAAAAAAAATTATAGAAAATTGCATAAAAATATAAAAATGTTGCACATAAATTTTAGCAAGAAATGCTTTGTTGTTCAACGTGTTTAAGTGACACAGTGCATTTCAATGTATCTTTCACACATTGTATTTGTTGCATGGGACCCACATATCTAACCCAACGTGATGGGACGGCTATAACGCTTAAATACAATGTAGAAACAAAGACAAAATTATACATTTTATAAATCTAACAATTGATTATTTTATTTTTTAAATGCATCAGAAAAGTGAATATAGAGTGAACGCAAGGTCTGTTGAGTTTAAAGTCATCAAGGATGGTGCATACTTTTGGCCGAGGTTAACAGAACAAGAGAAGAGGCCAACATGGTTGAAGATTGATTTTGACAGATGGAGAGATGAAGACGAATCTGAGGAAGATGATGTGAGTTACAATCCAACAGTTTTCACATTTGTGGATTACTCGGCTAATTCACAAAGGTCTTCACCTCATATAACATACTTGCGTACCCACATGTCATAAATCCTTGATATTACCGGTATGTATGAAATGCTGCAGAATATGAAATGCCAAAATGTCTGTCAAAGTTGATAACTTTTCCTAAGGTATTGAGTCACTGTTGTTTTTTCGCAACTCTAGTTGAAGCCGCCATTCCCGCTATCGGATCCTAATATTGCGATAAAAGAACTGGAAGAAAAATTAAAGAATGACAGTGATCTTGGTAAGATGTGTCAGACAACAGTTCTATTTTATGTGGAAATTGCAAGGAAAATTGCTAAGGGAACACATACAGGGCATATTTTACTACAAAAATCTTATTCAATGTTGGGTAGACATCATAATGGCAATTTCAGCATTAACTAGGACTTAGTTGAAAACAACCAAACCAAGATTTCTGTAAATTACAGAGAATATCAGTGACTGATTGTGTTCACAATTTGCACACACAGAGCATGAAACACAATATTATTACAGTGACATTATACTGTGACTGTTAATTTGCGTCTATCCTAAATGATAATCAAAAGAGATTTACACCTAATAGCCCTTAGAGACGAATGGTCACCAAGATCAGTCGCCAACTTTGCCCCTCCAATAGTATTCCATTCCCTCCTGTCGTCACATTCACAGTTCCAATTACCATGGTTATGTAGACCATTGGAACAATAGACATGATGATATAGGGGAAGGCAATGTAACATTATTTGATGAGTAAAAACAAGTTGTACAATTCCCTCGCTCTCAACTAGGCGGCCAATAACCTCTGAGGTTTATGTCGCTTGCTAGATTTAATTCATGCAAAATTGATTGGATAACCTGTATTTTTTTCTCTTCTCAACAGCTTGGAAGGAGGTCAAAAAAATCTACTTGTTTATTTATAATTTGTTCCAGTTTATCGGATTCTTTATTGTGGGTTTTATACTGGTAGATGGCTTCTCTGATCAGACAACAGGTGTGAGCTGTTTGTTTGTTTGGTATTATTAACTCCCAAATGCACAAACTTAAAAAGCAGTGTTATTTTTTGCTGACAATCAATATATTAAGCTGTCTCCAAAAAATAGACTCCATAACATTTTCTATGCGATTTGTCTGCACTTTGAAATTGGATGTGGTGCGTTAATTGGTCACATTTTTCATGAGTTAATTATTTATTCATGTTACTGTAAACAAAACTCATCACCAATCAAGTCTGACAAATTGGAAAGTTCTTGTCTGCATAAAATTAAATCTTTCGATTAATTCTCTGTACTACATTTCACTTAGGGTATACCACACAATAAGTGGAAATTGTCAGCGAGAAAAGTTCATTTTCGTTTTATAAATGTCTATTTCGAGAAATAAATGCTTCACCACTTGGAGAAAGTTTGTTGAAAAGCGGGTGACTTTAGTGCACCTCGTTTGACTTTGTGTCATAATACCTACATTGGTCTCAAGATATCACATCATTTCAAGAGAGTCTGCATCATTTTCTCAAAACTTGTCTCTAACAACCTTGGCAAAGGTGTGACGATAAGTTCTCATTTCTGTCCACAGTAACACCAACCAAAGTGGAGAGTCGTTCAGCATACATGTTCTATGACGTGGTCTATGACGTGGTCATTTCGGTTCAATTTGAATACATTAATGCAGGATTTTAGGGGTTGACCAGATACACACAAGTTGCATAAACATATACGGCAGCAGTCATGGGGAGATATACTGATAATCTTTCTGGGACTTTGTTACGATAAAGGAGTACATTTGTCGGGAGTCGCCAGTTCAGAGTGTGCATTTCTGCTGCAATTATGTCAAAATTATAATCTGCATCTTTTTTTCAGATACCTTTGCCAATTTATTTGATAGAGCCGGTGGTATTTTGGCAATATGCCAAATTGTAGCAGTTTTAGAAATTGTACATCCAGCTGTTGGTCTGGTTAAAACTGGAATTAGTGCTCCGCTTATGCAGGTCAGTATGAGCTGTGTGCTTCTCAACAATCTTCACCTTTACCTATGTATTCAAAATCCTCTCGATATTTTATGGTAATCAATGTTAAATAATATCTTTTGGGTCAAAACAGAATATCTCATAGCCAGTGAAAGTTGTTGGTGGTTTATTTACGGTAGGTCGTTTTAGGGTTGGTCATTTTAAACTCTGGTGTAAAATTTAGTGGGGAATCAAACCATTCCAATTACATCCAAAAATGGTCTGGTGAATTGTATCTAAGTAGTCCAGTCATGTAAAAAATGTAAGTGACACCAAAAATAATGGAAAGCGTGAATATATATTTTTTTGTTTTTTACTGTTTTAGGTAGTACTAAGGTTCCTTCATACAGCACTTTTTTATTTATTTAATCACCAACAGTGCACTTGCATCCACTACTTACAGAATAGATTTCACTAGTCTAAGCGGTATCTTGTCTAAGAGATGATAGAAAAAAACATGCACATTTTGTTGGCTTTTTTTAACAAATGTAGTTTCATTTACCGGTATGTAATTTTTTCTATTGAAATTCGTATTCAAAATTTTGTCTGTGTAATTTTATCTTTTCCAAATCTATTCACCAGTCCAGAGTTTCTCAATGTCAACCCCTCACAGATCTGATAAATGTTCACAATGGTAAGGGGTAACACATTCTTTGTTTGTTAAGCACACATTATATTATTTTTCTCTTTCACCTACAGATATATGGTCGTAATTTTCTAATATTTTTTGTGATTATTCCTGAGTCCAATTTACATGGGCAGCCTGCAGTGTATTATTTAATGGTTGTGTGGACCTTTATTGAACTGATAAGGTGATGTTAATGACATGTTCATGAATTTTGTTATTAAAACTCGTGATTTTAAAGGCATGTACATATTGACAATTGGTAATCTCATGAATATGCATGAGCTCAAGAAAAAACTCATGAACATTAATCAGTATGTGACTGTTGAGCAGATGAAAGGAGGGGATGTGACATTCGATTTTTCAGGATTTCTACATTGACAGTAGTGTATTGCATGTGGGAGAGGTAGAGAAACTGACAATCTAGTCTGTTCACCCTCTAAAAATTACCATCCACCAACATCATTTTGAACATGTCTTGACCAATTTTCTTCAAAGATGGTATAAAGGCAATGCATAATGCTATACATATGCTTTTTTTTGTTTCATTGATATTTGATTGTTTTTTGTTCGCATTTCTCTGGCGTCCCTTGACTAATATCATTCAAATTTAGTATTGTCATCACTCATCATGGGTTTGATTTTCAGTGTCCTTAGCAATTTTTCTGACGTTCTTTGACCTATTACATTTTTGGGGTTACAATAGCATTTAAGGAACTGGCATACAGTTTGTTTAACTTTTAAATTATTTCCCTCCACTCTGACACACCTAAAAATAGTACATCATGGTTTCATGTGCATGCAAAGTTTATTTGTTTCAATGAAATTTCTTTGACTTCATTCCTTCTTCATTTTATGCATTCAAATGCAGGCATGATCTATGTCACTGACAATGATTTGTTTAGTTGTCGCAGCAATCTGTGAAATAAAAGCCCTGTTTTGGCCTGAAATCATGACTTAATGCTTGAATTCACTGTAGGTATCCATTTTACGCACTGTCATCCATTGGGAAAGAAAAGGAAATGTTGACATGGTTACGGTACACCATATGGATACCATTATATCCACTAGGATTCCTGCTAGAAGGTGAGAGTCCTTTGCCGTGATTGGTCAGTACTGTGTCATGTGATGTTATTTGCCTGGATGTTCAACTATTTTGCATTTCAAAATGGCCAACAGATTACAGTGGTCTGTAAGTCACAATATCTTTGCTCCCACAGAAACAAAGATTGTGTTTTGGTGAGGATCACAGAGAATATTTTTTTCAAACTATTCTGGACTGTAATTTAGATACAGTAGTGCTCAACATTTTTCGGTTTACTGTCAATCTTTTTTTTTGAAAAAAATGGTAAAGTAATATACATAAAATGCCATTTTAGCAGCAGTTTCAGTGAAAACACATTTCCTCAATAAAATCTACTAAATAATTGTCAATTTTTTAATACTTCTAGATATCAAAAAGTACCTTGTAAGACACTATACATCTTTTATTTACCATATGTCACTGAACAAAATTTTGAGGTATTGAGATATGTGTTCCATGGTAAAATAGCCTAAAACAGACAAAACATACCATTTTCTCTGAACAGAGTATGATGACCCCATATTTTTATTTTCCCATTTCCTTCATCCCTGTGACATGAAATATCAAATATGTAAAAATGAAGAAAATCAGACTAATAATATAGTAAATGCTATCATCTTTTTGTCTGCTCCATTTACAGCTCTTGTGTTGTATCAAGCCATACCTATGTATGAAAACTCTGGAAAGTGGTCACCATCTTTACCTAATGGGTATAATTTCTCATGGAATTTCCCTCTGTGGCTGTGGTGTGATATCGGTTTACGAATTTTCATTGGTAAGTGAAAGGTGTTTCAATGTCAAATTTGTCTAGTGCATTTTATCAATAAAAATGTACCAATTTAATGTTTTATATTGCACAGTATTGTGGGTTATGTTGATTACATTTTTTACACTCTTTAATTCTTTGAATGCCGTAATTTTTCATACCAAAATTTTGGTGCCATTTTTTTTATAATTTTTTTGTTAATTATGAATCATTCGAAACCTAAATAAAATGTCATAGATTGTTCAAAACAGAATTTGCATGAAAACAAAAGATTTTTCAGAATGATGATTTAAGGGCGCTCCATCCTTGTCTGCACTTCATTTCAAATACAGCTGCAAACAATTTTTCATTGAATTTTCTTTCCACACACAGGTGCACCCATACTGTTGAGACACATGCACAAGATGAGAATGAAAAAGCTGGGCGGAGGAAGTAAGAAAAAGGTGTCATGAGTGCTGGCTTATTTCAAGAGAAATTAACAAACAGCAGCCCTGCCAACCAATCAGGGACACTGTTACATTTTTCCAATCATGTGCAATTTCATTAGGAATAGTTCAATCATTTTTTTCCCACTTTTCAAGGTCTTGAGGTACATTACTACATTGTACCTTCTTTTTGTCATGATATCCATTTATTTTAACATTAGTAGAGAAAATCAATACTAAAAATTAAAATGTAGATTTTGACTAAGAATAGCCACCGAGAGTGGCAGTAGCAAAAGTTGCTTTTACCCCTCAAATAGCATCCATTCTCTCCCTTTAGAGGAATAGTGGACATGATATCGTGAGAGAAATGAAAAATATTTGAGGGGCAGCAAGAATTCATGCATTCTCCCCCAATCTCACTCTCAATAATATTTCAGCAATAAGTAATTTGATATTCACTTGAATTCTTTTCGTTCATTTATTTTAGTGTAACTTGTCCTTAAATGAGGAAAACCCAGCGAAAGTAATCTATTCTTCAATATTACTTGAAGAACTCATTTGGTCATTTATCAAAACCTGTAATCAGAAATTTGAGGAGTTTAAAGATTATGTTTTCCTGGAGTAAGGCAGAAGAGGTTTATGTTCAGTGCACGCTAGTTGTGGTGCATGCACATTTCGTTTTGGCCTTCATATAAGATCTGCAATTCAAAATTTTAAAAATGTGCTTCACCAGAACTCTTTTTTTTTGTCCAAAAATATGCAGCTTTCATGAAATATTCATATCTCCAAGGGTTTGATGTGCATAGATGTTGCCTAGATACGATGAACCAGTTTACAAGGCAGCCTTTTTTCATCATAGAAACGACCTTGTGCTTCAAAATGGCCATTTAGTAAATAACCGAGTATAGTAAACATTAAAACTTGTGTCAAAAGTTCATTGCAGCTCTTCTTCAGTCTGCCATATTTTCTCTAATAAAAAATCTAAACTAATAATTCAATTATAAAAATATGACATGACCATATGTAAACATTTGTTCTTTGCATAGTGTTATGTTTTTTTTTTTTTCACTACTACTGGTAGTTCAAACTGTATTCTACATGCCTTGTATACGCTGGATCCATATCAAATATGATATGATCATTGCCATTTAAGGATGTAGTAAGAGGTTTTTTTACTTTGAAAATATCAAATTTACTTTTTTTCCACACTATAAAGTATGCATTCAACTAGAAAAAACAATTGTAGCGATGGTTTAAGAGAGTAATACATTTTGAGTAAATCTGAAGATGCATTGTGTTTTATGTTTTTTGTGATTTTTCACTTACAAGAAAACATCAATATTTGGGATTAAGTCCAGAGAGTTAATCTCGACTCCCAGCTGCTCCACGACAATGATTTTTGGCATAGGTATTCACTGATAGCTTCTAATGAAATCTGACAAAGATAGTTTGCCTACCAATTTGACTTTAGAAAATAAGACGCAACTCATTTTTAATTATAATAATTCATTTTATATACCGGTAATTGTTTTTTGCCGTGGTGAATTTATGTGCTATGTTGCACAACATAATTATGAATCTAATCAAATTGTTATTTATGTGAAAATGTTGACATTTTATTTTTCTTCTTTGTTTACATGTATGCGTCGTTGATCTCAACTTAAATAAATGGATTTTCAACATATTATTCATGGTTTTGATTTTTTACAAAGCTTCCCCCTCAAGCTGCATACATGATCAGGAATTGTTGTTCAAAGCTGTTACACTTCATGTGTCCAAGCTAAAAGAAAATGTAAACAGAAATCACGCTTTATATTATAAAAATAATCATATTCTGGTTATTGCAGAATTTAAAAAAAGTTTAAGAAAAATTAAATTTTAATGGAAATTTAAAAAAAATTGCACAAGTGCATCAATTATTAAAAATAAACTGACCAGAAATATTTGTTTTCCCCTCAGTTCATATTGGTTATTCATCTCTTGTCGAATTTTCATTTTTGCCAACCAATGGAAGTACCGATCATTTCATAAATATTCTTACTAACCACCTGTTGAATCTAAGAATATAACTCTAAATATAATCTTTGATAATTATACATTTATGCATGCCTGCATTTGCTGTAGTCGTAAATAACTGAGTATCGATGTAATCTCTGATATATGCTGTCCTTTGTTGAACTTTAACCTTAACCAGGTCATCGTCAGGTGATTATTTAATACAGTTTGAGTATATCTACTCGTAGTTTATCCTCAGTAAAACTCTTTGATGAAATTGACGCCACAAAAACATAGACCCACAAGTAGGCACTGACAGTTGATTGTGAATAAAACCTACAGTTATCCTATGTGGTAGTGATTCCATAACCAAGCATTGCTCGCAGTCGTAAAAGTCCTTCGGCAAAGTACTTTTTATTTGTATGCAAGGACCTCAATGCAAACAAAATATAGCGTAATGTGCTTCTTTTTTTGGCCACTGCAATTACAAAACTTTAATTAACAGAGTGATTTCCAATTAAACGAGTTAATGTTGTTGCTGCACAATAGTGCTTCAATGTTGATAATTACTCTATTAACTTGTAATTAACATCTACAGTATTCTTTTGTCTTCTTTTCAAAAACGCCTTCTGTAATTAGATAGCTTGTTGCAGGCAATATACTCCCTGGGAGACGATCAGGTATCATGTCAATTTCACCTGCAGAAAAGCATGGAATTTTTTGTTGGAAAATTTACCAACAACGATTGGCAGTTTTATTCGATATATAATTTGGCTCTTAAAAATAATTGATAGACAGAAGAGGGAGGTGACGGGAGTGGAGGGGTGGTAGTCAAACTGAAAGCGAGTTAAACCGACCGGTAGGTATATTTTGTTTACATTTCACATGCTGGGGTATGGTGATGCAATCTTGCATGAAGTCAGGTATGACCCCCTTGCAGCATTCATAAGCTAAAAAGCAGTTAAAAAACAATTTTCCATTACAACAACTCTTAAGCAGTTTGAAAACTAATATAGTTGTTCAAAATCTCCGTATTTGAAATTCTACATTATGTAATTGGATTTTGATTATTTTTGTTGGATCTTTGCCAGCAACTCGTGATTATTACGCGATGCTAATAGACTGAGTGACACTGGCCAAGTCAGTAGGGGGATACCCATGAACTGGTGACGCTTAGAGCCGTGTGATAACAGAAGAGGTTAACCCCATACAAAGTCTGTTTTGCAAAACAAAGAGCATTCTTTATATTGTGTTGACACAGAGGTGACACTTAACATACCAATGCTTAGCTATACCAAACATACACCCCTCGACAAGTGGTACATTCCTACTGCCCCTTTTCACTCTTTCAAAAGCCCTGTATGTCTGCATTCACACGGTCTTCTTCGTTGAATAGGGAATTTAATATCTGCTTGAGGTGCTCACAGCTGCCACGACGGCCGCCGCCGCCTGCGTTCCTTAACCTGCGACTTTAATATCTAGATTGTGCCAGCACTCCTTCACACTCCTGATAAACTTTCTGGGGGAAACAAATATCAGAGTGAGACTTAAGTGTGAAGTTTGCAAGGTAATGGATTACTCAGTTTGTGGTTTACTACTAACTATGTTTGTCAAAATAATGGGACATCACACAGTTGAATAGCTCCACAAATTTATTGATTGCCTTACTCAGTAAGTATCTGTAAAAGTCAAGTACAAGATCTATATGTACTTGTATGTTACTCTTGTGGTGTACTTAGACATGCTCTGCTATTTGGACAATCACGCCTTCAATATATAATGTAAACTGCTTGTAGTAGTTTTGGGTATCTGTAAAGTTTCCCACTTGGATAGCATTCATAACAATTAGGCCACACATTAATCGCCTCACGATGAGTTAAAATTTCAACTGGATTCACAAAATCCAAGGAGCGATCGTAATTGTTGAGTCAACTCCGTGGCCTATTCATTCTAAGTGGCCATGAGTTTTCATTCTTTCGGCCTCTACTCTAAAGAATGAGTTCTTTTGACATCTGCAAGAAATAGCATGGCTATATCGGAGTCAATACAAAGTAGAATAGCGTGAAGGTGCGTAACATAAAAGTATGTAAATAGGTTAATGTAATTTCATTCATACTCCAGAACGAGCATTCACTGCCATGCAAGTATGTGGTAACTGGAATGTGCAAGGCGCACGTTTCAATTGCCCTTTGACACATGGCGATCAGAGATAGAAGTTTACATTTATTAAAGTTCATATGTTTTCGTTTTGATAAAATTGAAAATGGATATAATTCAGGACATTGTTGTTACATGGGGGTGAAAATAGACTTTCTAGATTTTCCAAAGTTTTTGAATTTTCTATCAATTTGGTTAAAAATACCAATCATATCTGAGGGACCTGAGAAGGGTTGTAAATTTCATGAACTTAAATCGCATGTATATAATCTTCCAAGTACAAATATCAAAGTATAACATATATAAAACCAAACCAATATCTGTCTTGATGTCGTATCCAATAGTTGAATGCTTGTTGTGAAGAAATCAAAGACAAGATGTATAGTAAAAGCAAATAAAATAAGTAAAGAAGACATGACAGTACCATCTATCCATGTATAGTAAAAGTACACATATCAATAACGAGTGGATTTATCTTAACAATACAGATACTTTTATTAATAATCATTATGCTTCCACTAAGTAGAACAGAAACAGGCTATACAGGCTTCGCAACTGTATAGAACTAACAATTTCTGAACGTAGCTATTTCCTGCCAGCTAGGCGGTTGCACAAGCTGCAAGAGGTCCAACTAATAGAAGGGGTATGGTAATGTTGAGCGTATTAGGTGGCCCAGTCGTTGTGCAACCTTGAATTTGAATGATACATTTACAGGGATTGCGTTAGCATTTTCGTGTGGCAAGTCTCAATAAGAAAATGAAGAGAAATTAACAATATATTCTGTATATCTATACAAATGGAACCTCTTTTTATAATAATATGAGGGTGGGTCTCTCTATAATATTGGGGGTTGAGAAGAGGAATATGGGGTTAGACACATATACATGTATACATTACATATATGATGTATCAATCTGATTAAAATAACATC